GGCTGCAGGAGCTGTGAGGAAAAGCTGGTGTCAGGCGACCTTCCGGAGCTCTGCGGGCCGGCGGACTCTGGGCTGGGCTTCCTCGGGGACCAGCGCTGCTCGCTCGGCTCCGCCAGCCCTGTAAGGCCCTGGAGCAGAGACCGGGCCCGTCACTTACACAAGCAGCAATGCTCCGTGTCACCAGAAAGATGAAAATTCTTGGTTAAGACAGTTTATCCGAAGCCCTGTTTGATTATTTTAATGTTTTTTTATTTCTTTTCAGCTGGGCAGAGTTGTCAGCTGCCAGCCCTCTCTGCAGCCATCGCTGTCGCTGGGACCTGACACATCCTCGGGCAGCTCATACCCACAGACATCAAACCATAGAGTCACAGAAGGGTTTGGGTTGGAAGGGACCTTAAAGATGATCCAGTTCCAACCCCCTGCCATGGGCAGGGACACCTCCCACTAGCCCAGGTTGCCCAAAGCCTCATCCAGCCTGGCCTTGAACCCCTCCAGGGATGGGGCATCCACAGCTTCTCTGGGCACCAACGTTTGCTGTCAAGACTTTGCCATTAAATCTTTCCTTTGGGGTGAAGTCCTTTGATTACTTTTCGTGCTAATCCTGTCAGTTGGTCACTTTTTGGTTTGGAGATGGCAGTTTCGGGCTGTCAGGTCCCAGTGTCACATATATTGCCAACGCTGCACCAGGAACCTCCTGTGCTCAGCTGGGAATTGCAGGATTAGACCTGTGCTGTGAGGAACGGGAATCCGAGAGATGGGAGAGGAAATTTTAGTGTAACAGGGAATCCTTTGTCAGTGAAGAGACAAGGACAGGAAGGAGCCTGACTTAAGGCACTTAGAAACAAAATTTACTTTAATGCCAGAGTAATTGTAGGTGATACTTCTTTGCAGGAAAAAAATAAAAAAGGCTGATTTGTTACATTTCTCCCCTTTCTAGATTCAGTCATTCTTCCAGTGTTAGAGCTAAGAAAGAGAAGACTTTTGTGAATCTCTTCTGCAGCTGCAATTTTTGCATATGTTGGAACCACTAAAAAAAAAAAAAAAAAAAAAAGGCATTTTTAAGAGCCAGTATGAGCCAAATGAAGGGAAGTTTGGGGGATTTTTTGGGGAAGGAGAACCTTGCAAAGTAACCTGTACGTCAGCAGGTACATAAATAATTACATAGAGAGTCAGGCTTGTCTGGGTAATAGAAACACTAACTTTGAGAACGGATGTAGCAAAATTGGCAACAATGAGGAAAGTGTTTATGACTGAGTTGTTTATTTGGGGAAAAAAACAGAGCAGGGAAAGGATGAAACTATGGTGGCAAAAAGGAGGATCCAGAAACAAAAATAATAGTGGTGTGGGAGGTACAATGAGGAGCAACAGAGCTGTTATTCAATGGTATAACACAAGTTCTAAACTGTAACTCAGCAATTGTGCGTAACAAATCAGAGCGTCAAGGACAGAATTGTAAATAATAGCAGTCTATTATTATAAGTTAATGAGTTCACAAATTAGCCCCTTGATGTATTAGATGATTAGCGGTGTGTCAATTAGTCAATAAACAGCCTGGTCTCTTGTATCCGTCACATCTCAAGTCTGCAGCCTGAGGAGAGGGGATCTGGGCACAGGACAAAGTCCTGAAGTTCACCATTTTTCAGGGCAGGTGGACGTTCTTTACTCGCTCCCGTTAGTCCATGGAGAAGCTTTGGGAAGTTTTGAACTAGCAACATATTTCCAATCTTGGGAACTATTTTTTTGAGTGCTCTAGAAAACTGCAAATTCACAGGCATCCCTTTTTGAAACTTCACCAGTATTCTTAAGGAATTAACACAGGATTCAAGGATTTCCCTCCGTGGACATGCTACTCCTTAGGCACATCAACCTGACACGGGCTGCGTGCAAGATGCTCCTTTGTGTCTCGAAAGGGAGAAGAATGGAAGGCTGGAGGTTGCAGAAAGAATTTCATTTCCCATCTAACAGGAATTAAAGGATGTGATGTGTGGGGAGCGAGGAAGGGAACAGAACATTGGGTTGTGGACAGCAGGAGGGTTGTTTTCCTTCTGGCTGACTGCTGCTGCACCAGGCAGTTCTGCCCAGGGCCCATTCGGCAGTTTCCACTTTGCCAATGATTTCGAACAGAGCAGTGTTTCTGTGCTCAGCATTACGTGAGTCACCCCTCTCACCTGGGATGATGGCAATGGATGGCTGCTGGTCCTGTTGACCATGATATAAACAGCATGCATTTTAAATAAACACTGAAATGACTCATGTGATCAGTTGATTTTAGAACATGAACATCCAGAAATAGTATTAATACAGTATTAAAATGAGATAGAAATCAGTGTTCAACTGCATGATGCAGGAAGGTTACTCCAGTCTCCTCCTTCAGCACAAAATACAACATGCGTAACAAAGCAACACCTTTAAACACAAGGTGAAGACGGGCAATCTCTTCCACTCTTCAAAAGAAACTCCCGTTGATACATTTTTGCATGCCGGATACATCACAAAATGTAAAACACAGCCTTTTAAAAATTATGTTTCAAAGCATACCCAAGTCAAACCCCTGATATTTAGACAAGAGCATTTGCTCCAAGGACAACCAAGAGGATTTGTTTCATGTAGATGGTTTATTGTAAGAATTTACAGATTTCTGGGGCTTTACCATTTCTTCACAAAGTAACAGAGCAGTCTTGTTAACACAGACACAGGCAGGTTAAACCAGATGCTCGAAGAGCTCTTCTTCACCTGTAAGGAAAATTGAAGCAAATTATTAAAACCCTTTAATTTATTTATTTATTTAAAACTTGTATCTCCTCCACTTTGAATACTTCAACTCATTAATATTCCTTACTTCCCTCCTCCCCCAAACTCTTTATCAAGTCTATTTCCCCTTGAAGTTTTGAATTTTGAATATGCTTATTTTGCTACAGAAACCTTTTTAGGTAATGTCTTACATACAGACATTTTTAAGTCATTGAATAAGGTCAGGGCACTATGAAAAAATTAAAACAGTGATTGCAAACTAATCCCATAACCCAGAAATGTTAAAAAAAAACACAGAAAATTATGTCAAATGTGGATGTATGCTATTGTGGATGTATTTTGCTTAAAATTATTGACACTTAAAGAACTTTTTGTTCAGACAGATTCAAAGTAGCGATGCGCAGTTTCCCAGTTCTTTGGGAAGAGAAGTTTGTCTGACCAACACTGAATTCCAACTTCCTCATTTGACTTCAAGATTTTCTGTGTTAATTCATTTTAAAATGCAATCTAAGTTTCTATTTCATAACTTTACCTCTTGGATTTGGCTCAACCGCTTTTTTCGATTAATCCCTGGTTACGTTTTTACGAGAAAAAACAGAACAAGCAGGTTAGGAAGCATCTCATGCAAATTCAGGCAAAACTCTGCATGTATCTATGACCGCAAATGTATTGTGAGGAGCACAATACAGTACATAACTGCAATATGGTATGTATTCCAGGCATTTTGTAAACACACGGGATATTAACACATGTATTTGCATCTGAGTATAGCACAGATTTTTAACCGTTAGACATAATACAAATTAGCTACATGCAGTTACAAATTGTGGTCTACGCCCACACACTTGTAACCTGCAGTACACACTTCACAAAAATATTTCAAGGAAAATATTGAACTTGAAGCAAAATATACATTCAGTATCAATAGACTCTGGAAGTCCCCTCCTCCTTCCAACCCCACCTCCAAAGTCTCAGCTCCTGAACACCACCACAGGCTAATTTACCCAAAAGCATTTCAGTCAGCTGAGTTCTCTCCCCCATCCAACACTCCTGGGCTGTTTGCGAAGAGAGAGTAGGAGATGCCCAGGTAGAGGGGAGGGGGGAAATCCACTCAAAGCCACAAAGGAGGAAAAACACTGCCTATTCAGGCAAGGACACGTGTTGAGGCTAAAGATCTATTTTACCAGCTTTTTACCTTTATCTGGCCAAAAAAGACTGTCAATTTTCACACTTGTTAGTAGAACCGTGCAAGCTGAAAACTTTCGGAAGTCATGCCACGGACTGTCTTCCCTTCAGTTTTAGGACCTACATGCCCCAACTTTCCCCATTGACCTGACTGAAGCAGGACATACAAGCACTGCATGACTTTGCAACAACTCCTATTTCACGTTTGTACGGGTACTCACAGAGCAGCAGCACCAGAGATGATCTCAATAAGCTCCTTGGTAATGACAGCTTGGCGAGTACGGTTGAATGTCAAGGTCAATTTGTCAATCATCTCAGCTAGAAAAAAATAAAGTTGGAATTTAAACATATAATAAGTATTCCAATACAGATAAAGAGAGAAGCTGTATGAACAGAATACCAAATAGTCTTGTAAATCCATCCAAACGATCAAGATGCTTATTGCACTTTTTTGTTTTTTCCCCTACAGATAAACACCACTAGTAGACAATCTAGAAACTTGATAATTTGACTTGAGGAATCAAGAGTTAAACATCTGAAGAACAGCTGATAGGCTACTAAATACCATGGTATGGCATCAGTTATTTTAACATAACACCAGCATGAAGCATTTTACTTTTAAATTAGATTTCACTGCCAATAACTGTATCAGTATTTCCTTCACGTTACTGCTGTTCTGGCAAAGGAAGCTAGATTTTTTTTAAATTTTTTTCTTAAAATCTTTTTGAAACTGAGAAGGTATCACCCAATTCTCTGAAGGTGGTCAGCAGAGAGCCACACCTACAGTTCCAGGCAGCCCAATCCCACGGGTTTCCCTCAGTTGCCAGTATCCTTTATGCAACGCTACTTTCTTGGGACTGAAGTCTTATCACCACACCACATGAAAAGCTGTTAGCCATCTCCCACTAATACCAGCTACGTACTCTCTGCGCTGCACTCAGTTTGGACACCTTCCAAGGAATACTTGTATATTGTCAACTTGTTGCATGACAGGTGGTAAATCATTGTTTCAGTTTCCCCACCTTTGAACTGCTGCAGTACTAATTCCATTAGGCTCACAAGCAGGTACAGATTTATAAAAATTTTGGAAATCCTCAGAACAGGAACATGAGAAAAGTGTAAAGAATTTTTGCCCATTACAAGATTAGTTTAGTATTTCATATTCTTATTAAAGAATTTGTTATTTCACTTTCGATTACCCAGTCTTGTTTCTTATATACTTGACAGCAATCCCTTTTTCCAGGGACTAAATAAGGCTCACACGTTCAGAAAAGAATCCTGGTTGAACTGGCTCAAAAACACAGACTCAATTTGAAATTAAGAGAGAAACCAGCTCCTTTCTTATCATTTTGGAAGCAAAGAATGACAGAAAAGGCGCTCAGTACTTCCACGGTAAACTACTAAAGTCCTGTCAAACCCAGAGTAGACTTACAAGCATTTTTGCTAGCGTTGTCCATAGCGGTCATCCTAGCACTCTGCTCGCTGGTGGTGGATTCTTTCAGGGAGTAGTACAGAATATTTGCTAGTGTAAATTCCTGGTAGTTTCTCAGCACATCAGCATCAATATCATCATAGATACTTAGGCTTTCTGTAAAATATGAAAGAACAGACTTAAGAGACATCCAAGACACACTACTTCTATCAAAACAATATAATGCTGCGTGAAAGACTACTAGGCCAGCCTGTTTCTCTACTTAAGGCAATGCAGAGGGATCTTCTCTACATACAACGCATACTTTCATAACAAAATTTTAAACAGCAGAGAGATTAAGTACTTTCTGTATTTTAATTCAATTTAATACTAGGAAAGTCAGATTCTGAAAAAGGCCAAATACATTTTTGGCATATTATGTTTAATCTTCGCATAAAATGCTACAGAAATGTTCTAGGGTATTTTTACCAAGTAACGTAACATTAGTCAGTGCCTGGGCTGTTCAGTGATGAAAACACTGGTACTGACAGAGTTCGCCACATGTGTAATTCCTGCTTGAGAGAGAACCTCAAATCAATATTAGTACCACCATTCTTTTTAACCTCCTTGCCCCACAGCACTTTGATAAATCTGTTAAATCCGTTAAACTTATTATACACACAGAAAAGACATCATCTACCTGGACTTGCGCAAAGCATTTGATGCTGTCCCACATGACATCCTTGTCCCTAAATTGGAGAGACATGGATTTGACAGATGGACCACTCAGTGGATAAGGAATTTGCTGGACAGCCGCACTCAAAGAGTTGTGGTCAATGGCTCAATGTCCAAGTGGAGACCAGTGATGAGCAGTGTTCCGCAGGGGTCAGTACTGGGACCAGTGTTTAGCACTTTTGTTGGCGACATGGACAGCAGGACTGACTGCACCCTCAGAAAGTTTGCCGATGCCACCAATCTGTGTGTTGTTGGGGACACGCTGGAGGGAAGGGATGCTATCTAGAGGGACCTGGACAGGCTTGAGAGGCGAGCCTGTGCAAACCTCATGAAATTTAACAAGGCCAAGTGCAAGGTCCTGCACGTGGGTTGAGGCAATCCCAAGCACAAATACAGGCTGGGCAGAGAATGGACAGAGAGCAGCTCTGAGGAGAAGGGTTTGGGGTTGCTCATAGATGAAAAGCTCAACAAGAGCTGGCAATGTGCACTTGCAGCCCAGAAACCAAACATGTCCTGGGCTGCATCACTGCAGCGTGGCAACAGGTTGAGGGAGGGAATTCTCCCCCTCGTGAGACCTCACCTGCAGTACTGCATCCAGCTCTGGGGCCCCCAACGTAAGAAAGACATGGACCTGTTGGAGTGGGTCCAGAAGAGGGCCACAAAGATGGTCAGAGGGATGGAGCACCTCCCATATGAGGACAGCCTGAGAGTTGGGGTTGTTCACCCTGGAGAAGGCTCTGGGGTGACCTTATAGCAGCCTTCTAGTACTCAAAGCAGGCTACAGGAAAGATGGGGAGGGACTCTTTATCAGGGAGTGTAGTGACAGGACAAGAGGTAACGGTTTTAAGCTCAATGCCGGTAGATTTAGATGAGATATTAGGAAGAAATTTTTTCTTGTGAGGGTGGTGAGGCAGTGGCACAGGTTGCCCAGAGAAGCTGTGGATGCCCCATCTCTGGAGGGGGTCAAGGCTGCCCATGGCAGGGGGTTGGAACTAGATGATCTTTAAGGTACCTTCCAACAGAAACCATTCTGTTATACTATGCACCATAATAAGATGTTTTAATACCGCACTCCCATGTTCAGAATACTTTTTCTGTGATTGATCACTTCACATAACTGGTGGTCTTTAGTTCACTACTCACCAGAACCAGCAATTGTTTCAAGGGAGAAGATTGGTTTTTCATCAGTCTTGTAGGAGATGACAGACCTGTATAAAAATAGTGTAATACGGGTAAGAGCCTAAATTGAGCGTTTAAAGTCAAAATAGAATAGAAATGTTCTGGCCTTCCAATTCCATAAAGTCTTCCAATAATCCTCATTAAGAGGATACCACGTGGATATAATGATGTACTGACTAAATACAACAGCACCCATTGTAAAAGTAAAAAGAGAATTCCAACTACAGGTATTGAAAAAAAGAAAAAAACAGCGGCTCTTCACACACAGCAAAATGCACCCACTCCTCCAGAAATAAAGTAAACGTGACAATTCAGTCAGTTTTTGTATCACTTCAGCAGACCAACATGCTCTTTGAAGCCTTCCAGCCAATACTTTTCCAGGGCAGTTTCAGTTTAATCTTACCTGAACCGGTTGTAGATGACAGAGCCTTCATCAAATTCATACCCAGAGTTTAACAACTCTGAAGCAATGATTGAAGCATCTCCAAAGCTAGGAGGTCTCCGTCCCACTTCTTTGAATGTCATCAGGAAGTAATTGCTATGTGTCCTGCAGTAACATCAAACCTGTGTTAGAACCAAGCGGATGCTCTAATGTACAACTACGTGGCAGCAAGACTGACTTAGTAGTGTCACTTCTCAAGTGTTCAGGGCTGAGCATTTTACTGAATTAGGGTCTGAGGGAAATTTAGTTTTTTTCTGTTAAATTATGGCAGCTTCATGATAAACACACTCTTGTAACAGCACCAGCACTGCTAGCTTTTAGACTTTTATTTCAAAAATATAATAGTGCTGTGCAGCACTTTCACAAACGTCCAGATGATCAAAACCCCTTTTTGCATGTTAGCAGATTGGTTTTTTTATTGGAGCTTGAATTTAGCACAGTTCTACTAAATGCAATTTCCTGCAAAAGCCACACAGCTTTCCAAGCAGTCTTGAAGCTTCTACCACAGAAAACAAACAAAACCACCAAACCAAACCCTGGGATCTTTTTTACCTCTGCAGTAGGCCTCTGATCTTGTCACCTACTCCAACCACCATAACTTCTTTCCCTGCGTTTGAGAGGTTGGTAATCTCGTTCTTCAAGGTTTTAGCAATAGACGTATGGATAGCACCACACAGACCTCGATCAGAGGACACACCAATAAGGAGGTGCTTCTTCTTGTCCTCAGGTGCCTTTATTTCTGCTTTCTCATAGAGAGCTAAAAAAAAAAGATGGATGAGTTTTTCAAGGGTGCCAAGAAGCAAATAGGTCATACCAAAATACCTTTGAATTATTTTAACTAAAATAATTTCTAAGGGGGCTCCAAATCTCAGCCAGATGAATTTTATCTCCTTTACAATCATTCAAGTTTGCACATGATCTGACCAGAGGTGACAAAGAAACAATCAGCCACATCTCTGACTGATATCACACAATCAATGTCATTACTTTAAGTTCACTGTGCAAGTCCAGTGCCTGAGGAGCACGTGCAGCTCAAGAGTTCACAAGAAGGTCTGGCAGTAGCTGTAGGTGCTACAGAGATACGACACAGGTCCAATAACAGGCCAGAAATTCTGAGCTGTGGTGCTTTTATGACTAACAAAAACAACCACGTAACCACACAAAGTTAAAAAACTTATCAGAAATCATAATTTCACATTAGAACTCTTAAAAATCACTTTCCATAAGCTACTTATAAGGAATACTCAAGGTGGCCTAGAGATGCAAATTCTTTTGGAAAAAAAAAAAACACGGAAAGGTCAAAAAAAAGTCTAAGCATTTTATCACTGCCATGAAAACCTTCCTCTTCTGTTCCCACATCGCACAGTGCAAGAGTATTCTCTCACCCAGTGCTCCTGTTCCATAGACTCTAGCAGGCTTCAGCTCCCTCTCAGCTCTTGCATATTTTGCTGCAGAAACCATCTTCATGGACTTTGTAATTTTCTGAATGTTCTTGATGGACTTCAAACGCCTGGTAACTACAAGGTTAACAGTTGAAGGTCATGGGCTGTACTAAGCATAATGACATCAAAATCAAGCCACAAAATGCTAGCAACAGCCATCCGAAAATATCTCACCAAGTTCCTCAAAGAATAAAAAGTAAATAAACAGACAATGCAAAAATAATCCTCACAAAAGACCTTAGTATTTACAGTAAGAAATTAGGAAGAGTAGTAATCTGGCTAACCCAAACACATCATTACAATAGACATATTTTTTTTCCTCCAGACATAGTATTTATTTACTATTTAGCCCAAGGTAAAATCTATTTACTGTTCTCTTTCCTTCCACTTCTACCTGTTTCACAAATATAGCATTTGAGGTATACCATCATCTTTTCCCAAATAACAAGGAGAAGAAACAAACAAAAAACAAAAGACCCCAGAATATGAAGACACTGAATAAACTACCTCCTCTGTTTAGACAGTTGCAAAATAAGAGTCATAAAAATACTGATGCAAAAAGAAAACAAAACAGGTGTCCTACAGACAAGCACAATTAGAAGGCAACATCCCTGCATAAGAACCTATGGCTTAAAGTAGCATTATCAAAGCTGAACCATTCAGTCAACCTTTTTTGCCCCTCAAATGCTAAATAAAAGCGCAAGGAAATAAACATGAAAGAAAATAAATAAATCCTTAAAGATGAGCAAAAATCTGGTTTAACACATATGATGAAGTTGTTGTTAAAACCATTCAGTTTGCTGAAATGACGTCTAAACTAGTGCTAAAACCATTTTAAGCAATGTCTTTTCTGAAGGACACTTGTTTAATATAAGTAGCGCTGGAGGCTCGTGTATCAATGTTTTGGTGTTATCTCAATCCATTGATCCAACAAAGATGAAGCAAAATTATATTTTAACATATGGCTTTCCTGCAACACTTTCCCTCGCTCAAAAGCAAACAAAAGCAGTACTTACTGTCTTTCAGAGTTGCCATATTCCTGACTTGGCCCCTGAAAATGAATGCAGGATAAATCAGGAGAGTTCACCGCTTCTCCAGCAAACCAACACCTCTCAAGGGCCAGTCCCTTTCAGAGGGATGAAAATTTAAGAACTCCTGTTTTTTAAAAAGCATCTGTGGCAGGGACAAGCCACCCTAAACTATGCTTTCTATGCACACCTTCCATCCTTCCCCACATCTCCTGTATCATTTAATGCATTAGCCACTGCCCTGGATAATGGCACAACGTAAACGAGGGCCAGACAACAGGGCATCACAAGGGTACAGCTTTCAAAAACCCTAACTGCTTTTTGGAAAATTATTAAAATTAAGCAGAGGAGGCCACACCATTTCCTGAGAAGAGCAGAGTCTCCCTGCACCGCCTGTCACCTCCGAAGCC